CCCCAAAACCCCAAAACCCCAAAACCCCAAAACCCCATATTCCTCCAAACTCATTAAAATTAAATTAATATCCTGAGCGAAATGTCCGACCATTCAGACAAAAGGTTCCCTTGCCAGTTCAATAATCTTATCTTCACGAATCAGAAGTGGAATGATACTTCTAAAGATAGAGATTTTAGCCCTGATTTTCAAAATTTTTAGACAAGAGTTTGCTAAAAGAGATGAAGACGAAAAGATTATTGGGCGCAATAATTGTAAGTGGAGAGTGTGTTTAGCAGACAAACATGGTCTATGTGAAGCTTTTCAGCATTATATTGAGTCTAATGATTCTTTTTAGCTAAAACAAAGCATTTTACTGAACCATTTGATCCGAATAAACTGTTTCATCAAGTTCCCTCATCCGCTCCCAAAGTAGAAACTACAAAATCAAAAACTTCCTCACATATAAACAAGAGTCACAAAGTTAGAAAGATAAAAATAGATAAAGAATCAAAGAAAAAGAGGCCTGATCGTAGCGCAAGAGTCTATAAATCGCAGTATAACAAGCCACTAATTTTGGTAGACAAAGAACATGGCGGTAGTAAGTTCTATTTTCTTATACTTTTGCCAATAATTCTTATGAGTTTTGAATTATTAGTCTCTTTCTACTCATATTCCATAATCCCAAATGCCAATATCGTCGAGCCTTGTTGTACATATTCATTTATCTTTGTTCATTACAGGGTTTTGTCTTAGAGTATATCTCTATTGGGTAGGAAAATCACTAAACCTCTTTGTAGGCAAGAACATAAAATGTAAAATCTCAACTCCAAAATACACTCAAGTTTATCCTAAATAAGGCCAACTTGATGAACTCAGGAGATGGCCAGAAGTCCAAGGAAAGAAAGAAGAAGAAATCTAAAGGAGATCATCGTGATAAAAGCTATAATGCTTCTTCCAAGAAAAGCAAGAACTTTATCGAGATTACCAAAATTTCTACCTGAACAAATGCTCGTGGCATCAGCGCAGACAATCTGGCAGACAGTAACGCAGTGAAGAAGACAGATAAGTACTTCAAGGGTTTAAAATCTACCAAAAATAAGCTAGGAAAGGTAGGATTATTGCTAATATAGCATAGATCAGTTTTAAAGTGACTAAAACTTGAAGGAACAAGAACATATCGAATTTGATAACCTCTGTTGACAGGAACAGCACTCATATAGAGCAAAGGAAGGACAAGGCTTTGAAAAGCTTGGGCAAATTTAAATATAAAAAGGGCCAGCATTCTCGTAGAGGAGGGGCTGACTCCAAGACGGGCTCTGAACCTAAGCAGGAAAGGAAGAAATGAATCTCCATCGGTGCTCAAGAAGAGAGAAAAGTTAGAGCCAAAGTTGCTAACTCAGATAAAGAGTAAGTCTTATAATTTAATTTTAGGCCTAATTTACATAATATTTCAAATGATTTCACTGATAGTTTCCTGAATAGTGTTGGAAAGGAGAAGATTAGAATCCCTCTTGAAGGAGATATTGCTGATCCTAGTTCTAAGAGAAAGAGAGAAGATGCTAAAAGTACACCTAAAAATGAAGATTTCCTCCCTGATTTCGGGTGCAACAAAGGAAGTTGTGCTAAAGAGTCAAAGAAGATAAAATCTGAGAATCGGACCAATTCATACGGAAATTCTGAAAAGATTTCGCTTACTGGAAAATCAAGAAGAGAGAGCTCCAAGAGATTATCTTTTGATGTGAAATTCAAGACTAAAGATCTAGCCGAAGCAGATAGTCTCAAAATGATGTCTTCTCCAAATAGCAGCAGAGAAAGAGGTAAAAGTAAAGAGAAATAAGAGTTTGGGGATAACCATGAATCCGATTAGTAGTAACAATTTTAAGTATGCTATCGGAAACCTTCCCATCAAAGTGAGCAGAGATGATGACATGCTGTTCTCTTTTAGGAATCAGGTTGTGACGAATAGATCTATAAAGGAAAGTGAGACAAGTCAACTTCCAGAATCAATCAACTCAAGGCATGGAGAGATTACTTATCTCCTTACAAGCTTGGAGGACAGAGTGGCTTCCTTTGTTGAAGGATTCAATTTGTGCCTTGAAGACATTGATGATAGCCTCAAGAATGAGATTGATTCATTTAAGATCGATGATAGCTTTGATTGTGAATTTAAAAATAATAGTATATCAGATTTTGAAAATCAAGATGAAGAAGACAGTTTAGTTACACTGATGCAAGCCCAAGAAGATGAGTTTGACAATGAAAAACAATTTGAAGATCTTATTGATGAAGAAGAGTTTAATGAGAGAAGGACAAATGAAGATCATCACTATATTTCTGATAGCATCACAAAAGCTAAAAGTATTGAGCCAAAAACAAATATGGTTGATACACAAGAGAAAGTTCTAGACTTCACCAGAATAGACCCAATGAGCTTGGGTAAATCTTCCACCACTCCGAAGTCTAAAGCTAAGAGAATTAAACCTCAGGTTTCTGGGATAAAATCGGCAAAAAGCACTAGGGCTACAATGCCTTCTTCAAAGAAATCTAAGCCTAAAAAGACAGTACAGACATCTGAGAGGAAAATACGTAATATTCAATTGACAGAGGAGAGCAAGCCTCCTGGCAGAAGAAGAGTAAGCAAAATCTCAAAGAAGAGCATGGATAGGATCTGTAGTAATCCAAATGAAAAGAGTGGTGGCAAGTACCTCATTCCCTCCCCTGATAATAGTCTTAGTGGTAGAGGTGTAATTAAATTCTTTTCACTGAAAAAGAGTACTTCCAGAAACGTTAAAGGCAAAAACAAAGTTACCTCTGTTTCGACCAATAGATGCTATGTTAAGAAATCAAATATCTTACACACATCTAAAGGAAGTAGTAGTGGAAGGATGGATACGTCAAGTAAATCTCAGAACAACAGGAAGGGGCATCAAATTTCTTTTTACCCTGCACCACAAAGTCTACGCATAAAAAGAGAGGAGGAGCCTCGTTTAGAAGACAATTGTGAAATTCTGGAAAACAAAAAGTTCAACCCTATGAGCACTCAAAAATACAGTGTCCTTCCTGAATAAACTGAGTTCTTGTAAAAATGTACCAAATTTATCATCAATTTTAAATATTTTATCGGGGTTTTGGGGTTTTGGGGTTTTGGGGTTTTGGGG